ATTGGGAAGCAATCGAAACACCAGGAGTAGATTGGGAGCCAATTACAAGTCAAAGTCAATTGGGTGCCAATTACAATGGAGAAATTCAAATTGGGTGCCAATTACAAGTCAATTGCGATTGGGTGTCAATTACAAAGGAGAAATTCAAATTGGGAGGAAGTTCACAACCAGTTTGAAGTCTGAGAACACCCAGACGTGAGAATGAAGAAGATGAAGATGAACTTACAGTGTTGAGCATGCAAAAGCCATAAGGAGATAGAACCAGAATCGGTTATGACTCCACATGTTCTCAAACCCCTCAAAATCTGACTAATTCTACTGCTACTTTAAATAATAAAGTTCAAGTGGTAAAATCGTTTAAAAGTCAGAATAGCACGATGAGACAAGGACTTGGCTATCAAACAAAAGCAAAGTTGAATGTTGAAAGGCCGAAACAAATCTACAATACGGCAAAGCAACAAAAATTCTTCAAGCAAAGATATGCCAAAGAGTCAAGTGCAAAAAGATTTCATAGAAAAGAGGGAAACTTTTCTAGAAATAGAGTTGGGAGATTTTATCCCACTCAAAAGGATTGGTTGTGTAATAAATGTAATGCTTTTTATAGACCAAAGCAACAATCCTCTTCCCAGGTGCCAAAATATAAGAATGTTTTTCAAAATCCGGCGCCAAAAATGTTTTCAAAAGTGAGTTATGATTATCGTGTCTCAAATGGTTACAAACCGCCTCATCTTAATTCAATAAGATCTAGGTGGGTCTGGTTACCTAAAATCACTAACAGTAAAGGACCCAAGCAAGTATGGGTACCTAAAGTTAATTAATCTTTTTTGCAGGATGTTTGGTACATCGATAGTGGTTGCTCACACCACATGACTAGAAATAAATCATATCTAGTGAATTTCAAAGAAATCGATGGACCAAAAGTTATATTCGGAGGAAATCAAAATTATGGAATCACAAAAGGAGTTGGCACGATCAAGAAAAATGGATTAAAGATTGAAGATGTTTCTTTCGTTGAAGGCTTAAAATTTAATTTGTTGAGCACTAGTCAATTTTGTGATAAGGGCTATCTTGTAGAATTTTCTAAAGATAATTGCCTAATCAAAAATGAGCTCACAAATGATGTGGTACTCTCTGGAAAAAGACGAAAGAACATGTATGTTGTTGATTGGAATACAAGCAAAGATTCAGTGTGCTTAATGGCCAGAAATTCGAATGAAGCTAATTGGGAATGGCACAGAAAGCTCAACCACTTAAACTTCAAGACTATCAATCAACTTGCAAAGAAGAATCTAGTTGAAGGCTTGCCAGATGTTATCTTCAAGAAGGACCAAGTGTGTGATGCATGCCAACGCGGAAAGCAAATCAAATCATCATTCAAATCAAAGACACACGAGTTACCGTCAAGATCACTAAGCTTACTACATATGGACTTATTTGGACCGGTTGATCCAATAAGTGTAAGTCGTAAGAAATATACACTCGTTGTTGTTGATGATTTTTCCAGGTACACTTGGACCGTGTTTCTCAAGAAGGAAAATGAAGTTGCGCAAGTTCTACCGAAGCTATTGAAGCAACTACAAAATGAGAAAGAATTGCAAATATCAAAAATACAAACGGATCACGGAACCGAGTTCGTGAATGGCGTTATACAAGCTTTTTGCAATTCACATGGAATTTCTCATCAATTATCTGCCGCAAGAACACCGCAACAAAACAGTGTTGCCGAAAGAAGAAATCGGACGCTCAAAGAAGCCGTACGAGTGATGATTAGTGCAGCCGGTCTCCCGAAACGATATTGGGCGGAAGCTATCAACACTGCTTGCTACACATAAAATCGAAGCATGATCCATAAGCAGTACAAGAAGACGCCATACGAGCTTTATAAAGGGATAAAACCAAATATTGGTTATTTTCATATTTTTGGATGCAAATGTTTTATTCATATTAATTCAAATTGCATCTAAAAGCTTTTGATGAGCGTGCAGACGAATGAACTTTTCTAGGATATTCAGCTACCAGCAAGGCGTTCAGAGTTTTGAATAAAAGAACAATGGTGGTTGAAGAATCCATACACGTGGTATTTGATGAAAAATCACAGATCAATAATGGCGTTCTGTACGAAGAATTCGAACAAATTGGTAACAAATGTCATATTGATTTTTGTGATACTAATGATACGTGTGAAGATGATGTTTTGCAGGGAATGGATGAGTTGCAAATTAATTCTCTAGAAAATCACATCCCTCATCCAGAAGAAGTTGGAAATTGTTTTAATAATAAATTTGGAGGTGAAGCCAAACGTGATAATGGAGATGCAGTACGGGTTGAAGTTGGTGATCCAGTTAATGACCAAGTTACTGGTGAAGTTGGTGGTCAATCCAAAATGAATTAATTGAGGAAATTCGAACTAACACTACCAGTACACAACAAATGGATCCACCCAGTATCATGCACCCATTTGAACCAGATTTAAGATGGCTCAAAAATCACTCTCCAGAATTAATTATTGGGAATATTCATGAAGGCGTGAAAACAAGATCATCTACCATGGAAGCATTGTTCACGTGTTATCTATCTCAAATTGAACCAAAAGAAGTTGACGAAGCTCTTAATGATTCAAATTGGATAAATGCTATGCAAGAAATGATGTTTGGAAACTTGTTCCAAGACCGGTGAACCACAATGTTGTAGGAACCAAATGGGTCTTCCGGAACAAAGCAAACCAAGAAGGCGTGATTGTTAGGAATAAAGCAAGGCTCGTTGCAAAAGGGTACTCTCAAGAAGAAGGAATAGATTTTGATGAAACTTTTGCACCGGTGGCCAGACTCGAAGCAATCAGAATTTTCCTAGCCTACGCCGCACACAAAGATTTCACTGTTTATCAAATGGACGTGAAAAGCGCATTCTTGAATGGTCTACTCGAAGAAGAATTTTATGTCGAGCAACCGCCAGGTTTTGAGGTAAAAGGCGAAGGTGATAAAGTCTACAAACTTAAAAAGGCATTGTATGGGTTGAAACAAGCACCTCGAGCTTGGTATGATACTTTGTCAATGTTCTTGATAAGCTGTGGATTCAACAAAGGCCTTGTTGACAAAACTCTATTTAGAATTCAAGATGGTGATCATCATATTTTATTAGTGCAAATATATGTTGATGATATTATTTTTGGAAGCACTAACAATTCTTTGTGTGAGAAATTTTCGAAGCTTATGCAGAATAAATTCGAAATGAGCATGATGGGTGAATTGAATTACTTCTTGGGCTTACAAGTCAAACAACTGAAAGAAGGAATATTCATCAATCAAGCAAAGTACACTCGCGACTTGATAAAGAAGTTTGGCCTTGATGGAAAATCATAGATCAAAATTCCAATGAGCACATCAATAAGGCTAGACAAAGATGAAGATGGAAAGGATGTCGATCAAACAAAATATAGAGGAATGATTGGTTCTCTTCTATATCTTACTGCAAGCAGGCCAGACATTTCTTATGCTGTGGGAGTGTGTGCAAGATTCCAAGAAAATCCAAAAGAAAGCCACCTCACTGCAACAAAGAAGATCATACGATATATGAAAGGCACAATCAATGTTGGATTGTGGTATCCAAAAGGTACAGATTTTACTCTAACGGGTTTTTCAGATGCGGATTTTGCAGGTTGCAAAATAGACAGAAAAAGCACTTCCGTCACATACCAGTTCTTGGGGGGAAGGCTTGTTTCTTGGTTCAGCAAAAAGCAAAATTCCATCGCAACTAGTACCGCCGAGGCCGAATATATTGCTGCAGGAAGTTATTGTGCGCAAATTTTTTGGATGAAGCAACAATTGAAGGATTACGGAGTTAATTGTGATGACGTTAGAATTTATTGTGATAATACTAGTGCAATCGCTATCACTCACAATCTGGTGCTTCACTCAAGAACCAAACATATCGACATTCGACATCACTTCATAATGGATCACGTTGAAAAGAAAAATCTAAAGATCGAATATATCCCTACGGAAAACCAAGTTGCTGATATTCTCACAAAGCCTTTATGCGAAACGAGATTTTCTACCTTAAGGCACGAGTTGGGAATGATCGAAATGAGCTAAGATCACTGGACTTAATCTCACAATTTATTTTTAGCACAATTGATACTTGTGCTCAAAATAAATTGTTTTACGTGAATAAATTGTTGTATGTGATTATATGCATATGTTTATTCGAAATTTTTTTGTATAATAAAATTGCAATATGTGTTAGGAATTTAATTGTGTATTTGCATGTGTTATTTAACGTGAAATCATATGCCATGCAAATTAATTTGATGAAATATGCAATTCGTGATTATTTGACAATTTGTTTAAAATTACATGTTTTAATGTGTTATTTAAATCTACGAAGTATTTGTTCATGTTTGTATAATTTAAATAATTTGTTTGCATGAACAATTTGCTTTAAAAAGATTTAATTTAGTATGTTTATTGCATTATATATGTGTTTCGTACATATATGGTTTATGTGTTATAATTTGTTTTAAAATGTTTTGGAAACCTGAGCTAAAAGTTAATATTTTTGTTAGTTTCTAAAATATTTTAGAATCTGATTTGTGTGCTAATTATATGAAGTTGTTTCTAAATATGAATTTGGAAAATGTGTGATAATTTTGTTAATTTCCAATATGTGTTTAATTTGATTGGAAATTACCATAATATATTGTTATGTGTGATTAATTATTTATGGTTGATTTTTGCTACTGACGATGAGGATATAATATTTCTGAATGAATCAAATAATAAGTCTGTATATGAATATATATAGTAGCGAATAGCAAACCTAATACAAGACTAATACTAGTAACAATAGGTAACGAATACTAATAATAATAGAGTCCTAATACTCCCCCTCAAGCACAAGGTGGACTAGCTACAACATTGAGCTTGCCACACAGAGTAGAGAAACGCGGACCAGGGAGAGCTTTAGTGAACACGTCAGCCAGCTGATCCTTAGTAGAAATGAAGCTAACCTGCAACTCTTTCTTTGCCACTTTGTCACAAACAAAGTGATAGTCAATTTCCACATGTTTCGTACGAGCATGGAACATCGGGTTGGAACAGAGATAAGTTGCACCCAGATTATCACACCAGAGAGTGGGAGGAGTTGCCAACGACAATCGAAGTTCATGCAATAGAGAAACCAACCAGGTAACCTCAGCAGACACGTCAGCTAGTGCCTTGTACTCGGCCTCTGTAGACGAACGAGCAACCGTACGTTGCTTCCGGCAAGACCAAGAGATCAGATTGTCACCAAGAAAAACCGCAGAGCCACTAGTAGACTTTCTGTCAGCGGGGTCCCCAGCCCAGTCCGAATCCGAAAAAGCATGCACTGCAACAGAGGAGGATGGGCGAATAAACAGACCAAAATGCAAAGTGCCTTTAACGTACCGCAGAACACGTTTGAGCATTGCCCAATGCTCAGTAGTCAGGGAGTGCATATGCTGACAGACCCGATTCACAGCAAAAGATAAATCCGGGCGAGTGACAGTAAGATACTGCAGAGCCCCAGCAAGACTGCGATACTGCGTGGGATCGGCATAAGGAACCACCGATTCAGAAACGGGTCGAGTCACAGGCACCGGAGTAGCCAACGGCTTGCAGTCCACCATACCTGCACGGCTCAAGATATCTCGCATGTATCGCTGCTGAGAAAGAAACAAACCATCACCACGAGAGACCGTCTCAATGCCCAGAAAAAAGGACGGAGCACCCATGTCACGAATCTTGAACTCCAAGGCTAAGTCAGTCAGAAGCCGAGTAACACGCGAAGCATCAGATCCCATAACAAGGATATCATCCACATAAACAAGCACATATAAAGATACAGAGTCACGAGTGTATATGAATAAAGAGACATCAGTCTTTGAAGGTGAAAAACCAACCGACACCAAGAAAGCATGTAACCTGTTAAACCATGCGCGAGGAGCCTGCTTAAGACCTTAGAGTGACCTCTGTAATAAGCATACATCATCCGGTCGTGACGAGTCCTCATAGCCAGGCGGCTGTCGCATGTAGACTGTCTCTGCAAGATTACCATTCAAAATGGCGTTGTGAACATCCAACTGCCGAATTACCCAACCGCGAGAGACAGCCAAGGAGAGAAGAAGCCGCACGGTTGTGGGTTTTACAACAGGACTGAAGGTCTCAAAAAAGTCCTGTCCTGCGACTTGATTGAACCCCTTAGCCACCAACCGAGCCTTGTGCAGCTCAATCGTGCCATCAGCCTTGCGCTTCGTCCTGAACACCCATTTGCAGCCTACAACATTCATACCAGGTGTGCGACTAACCAGACGCCAAGTGTGATTCTGGAGCAAGGCATTAAACTCAAGATCCATGGCCTCACGCCATTCCGAATACCGAACTGCCTGAGAATAACAGGTCGGCTCAGAAACAGTCATAAGAGCCACATGCTGCGTCGGCCCCAAAGAACGAGTCGCCATAACATGAGACCGAGGTGGAACCGGTTTTACCGTGCGCCGACTTCGCTTGGGCGCCTTAGGAGCACCCGATATTGCCACATCTGGAGCCACGACAGTCTCGGTGCGGGAATCAGAAGCATTACCAGCAGCCCCGGAATCCGTGTCCATCTCCAGACGAGGATCCGGCCCAGTAGAACAAACACCGGAGCTCGCGCCAACCTGAATGGCGCCAACACCCCATGGCTCAATCGGGCGAGAGCTAGAGACCTGAGAGGGGACAGAAGAAGCAAATGGAAATATGGTTTCATCAAACCGCACATGACGGCAAATGAATACCTTGTTAGTAGCAGGATCAAAACAACGATAGCCACGAAACGAAAACGGATAACCAAGAAACACACACGGAGAAGACCGATACTGCAACTTGTTACGATTATACGGGCGTAACAGAGGATAACAGAGACAGCCAAACACACGCAAGAAAGAGTAAGAAGGACTAGAACGATGCAACCGAGAATGAGGACTATCATTATCCAAAACCCGAGTCGGCATCTTATTGATGAGATAGACCGCAGTCTCAAAGGCATAATCCCAATATCGTTGTGGAACCGAAGCCTGGGCAGAGAGAGCCAAACCCGTTTCCACAACGTGACGATGCCGACGCTCAACTCTACCATTCTGCTCATGGGTATAGGCACAAGACGGCCTATGATTAATACCCAAAGAGACAAAAGTACGGTGTCACCGTTTATACTCTCCCCCTAAATCAGATTGAATAGAGACAATCTTACGACCATATGAACGCTCAACTAGTGACCGAAACTGCTAGAAGATAGCATACACATCAGTTTTCAAACGCATAGGATAAAACCATACATAGAGCGTATAGTCATCAACAAACAAAACAAAATAACGAAAGCCATTGACGGAAAGAAAAGGCGCTGGGCCCCAAATATCAGTATATATAAGTTCTAAAACATGAGACGTAGTAGTATTGACACGAGGCAAGGGAAACCGTGAGGATTTCCCAAGCATACAAGCACGACACAATTCCGAAGTATCACTAAAACTAGACTGAATAGAACATGAATTTAAAATCTGCCGCAAGACACGCGGGTGAGGATGACCCAACCGGCTATGCCACACGTCAGAGGAGACTCGAGAGGCCACAAACGCAGCGGGACTTGAACGAGAGACAGGCCAAGAATAGAGACCCCCCGAAGCCGGCCATTTATATAGAACTTCCCTGGTTGAACGATCCTTCACAAAGAAACAATCAGGGTGAAACTCAAAAAAGACATTATTATCACGAGCAAACCGTTGCACAGACAATAAAGACGCAGAAAGCCCAGGAACATGAAGAACATCAGACAATCGAAACAGTGTTTTAGATGCGGCTAACGAAGATGAACCAGTACTAACAATAGGTAAACACTTACCGTCACCAACACGAAGATGATCCGGACCATTATAAGGAACCGCCGAGGACATTAAAGACGGATCCAGAGTGGCATGATTCGACGCACCAGTGTCAGGAAACCACTGTTGAGGATTAACCGAAGCCGAATCATCAACAGAATATGCAACATGTGCCCGCGACCCCAGAGCGCCATCATAACGACGATAGCACGAAGCGGCCGAGTGGCCTTCGCCGGAGCAGATCTGGCACTGGACAGCCCCGGCGCCACCTCGACCGCGGCCTCGGCCCTTGCCACGACCTCGGCCTCGATTGCCGCCGCCACGCTGCTGCCCGCCCGAGCGACCTCCACCTCGCTGAGCCGCCATGGCGACCGGAGCAGCAGCAACGTCACCACCATCATCAGCACATATAAAGGCCTGCGAAACAAGAAAATCGGATAACTCGGGTAAAGACACCGGAGCACCCCTCGTCAGCGACGCCACCAAAGGGCGATATTCGGACCGCAAGCCTCGGAATATATACATATTCTGATCTTCGAGTGTCACCGGACGGCTGGCAAGTGCCAAATCCTCAATAAGCACCTGAGCACGCCCAAGATAATCCGGGATCGAAGCATCCCCCTGCCGCAATCCTTGCAGTTCGCCCACCAACCGAAGAGCACGGGCCCGAGTCGTCGAACCAAGAACCTGTTCGATCGCCACCCACAAATGCCGAGAGGAGGTTTTACCGATGGCAAGATGCATCATCTCGTCGGACAAGGACGAGATCAACAAGGAGAGCACGACCTTATCTTGACGAAGCCATGCACTTCGAGCGGCGGACGATACGGCCGACAAAGACACGGCAGCAGCAGCCTCCTCGGCAGAAGGTACCGTAATCGCAGTAAACGGGGGACACACAGACGTTCCATCGACAAAACCCAATAATCCTTAGCCATCCAGGAACGGAAGAAGCTGAGTGCGCCAAAACAAAAAATTACGGGATGTCAATTTGATGGAAACGAAGTGATGAGCCGAAGAAAACGACACCCCGGACTGCAGGGGTGCCACAAGCGCAGCCTCAGAAACAGTCCGTTCAGAACTTCCAACAGAACCGCCATCAGAACCGAGGTGCGCCATAGAGAGAGAAAAAGAACCTGCTGATACCAGATGAGGATATAATATTTCTGAATGAATCAAATAATAAGTCTGTACAGAAATATATATAGTAGCGAATAGCAAACCTAATACCAGACTAATACTAGTAACAATAGGTAACAAATACTAATAATAATAGAGTCCTAATACTGACGAGATGTTTGAGTATGATTGTATTTGTGGTACACGATTTTGAGAAGGAAATCAGGAGATAAAGGAGGAAAATCAGAGTTTAATGGGGTATCAAACCTCCACCCATAAACTCCTACCCTTTCTAAACCCCTACCCAACCTAAACCTCCCCCCATAATCCTCTCCTAGTTCAAATCTTTCCAAATAGATTTACCCTCTCTCTCTCAATCGACACCCGCATCTCGCTTGTCAGAAAATCACTCTCTCAATCGATCCCCATAAACAAATCTCAAGGAGATCAGAACCGAAATCATTCCTAAGTTTCTTTTCAAATCTCCACCCTCTACACCTTACGTGCATTGGGTATTTCTAAAGAGGTGTGAGCATTAAATGCTCTTGCCTGCTAATGATGATATCTTCTCTTTCCTCATAACAACACCTATCAGATGACTCATCTACCCTAAACTCACCCATTCGACACACCTCAACCAAAGGGTACAATTGAGAAGTTTCATCTCTCTCTTTAAATTCGAAAAACCCTTCGAATCACCCTCCTCATATAAACCCCTCACTTATCTCTCAGAAAGTCTTTCAGACATCCAAATTATCATAGAACTCTCTCTCTCTCAAAATTACATTGTAACATCCCAGATTTTCAAGACATTTAAAACTTATAATAAAGGTAGAATCTTATTAAATCCCAAGATATAAATACAAGCGTTCGGGGTGCTATGCCACACCTGGGCTAGAGAACCCAAGTGCACAGGCTAACTAACTAATATCCTCAAAGCGTAAATACGTAAAAGTGGCACGCAGGCCAAAAGGGAAACTATCTACTTCTAAGTTCTAGCGCACTACAGTGACTTAATCTTCTGTGCCTGAAAGCCAAATATATCTGTTCAGCGAGAGATGCTGGTAACCCACTCCAACGCGTTGAAATACAATACATATAGAGATATATATAGATATACAAAAACCATTTTGAGCATGAAGATATATCCTACGAACTCTAGCTTTAAGAACCGGGAATGACTCGACAGATAAGGCCAGACGCAAGCAACAGTTATAACGAGCATATGCAGTTCACAACAGATAAGGCAGATAATTAATGATCATAACCCAACATGAACAATCCCCAATATAAATCCCATAGTCACATCCCCCAAGATACTCGTAATCACAACTCGTCCCTGTCACAACACATAACACACTTTGTTGGCGCCACAGGACCAATCGCATGCCCATACATGAGGGTCAGCGCATATAGCTCTGACACGGCCCCGCAGCACCCTGCCCCGTATCGCAACACGGAGGGGTCGATCGCAACCGACCGATGAACCGCAGCTCATCATAGTGTTTGATCGCAACCAAACAGTGGACCGCAGCCCAAGAGGATGTCATCTGACCGCAGCCAGGAAAAAGGACGAACCGCAGCTCGTATAGAAACGTTTGATCGCAACCAAACGGTGGACCGCAGCCCAAGAGTATCAATCTGACCGCAGCCAGCTTCTGAACCGCAGCTCCAGGATAACCAATTCGATCGCAACCGAATTGGGGTAACACACACACATAACACATAGCAAGCACATGCAACCCACATTACACATTAGGAAGGGGGAGAAAACGTATAACAAAACCTATGCGTGATCCATCACATACTAAAAATAGTCCTAAGGGGTTCATACTTCTACCACCTAGGTCAACGGGATACCAATTCAACTAGCATGCAATATAATAGACTCGTAAACCTACGAACGGCACCCGAGATATCAAACTAGACATAGGCACGAAGAACGGAGTCCGTTGGGACACCACGGGGATCGGGGGAACATCAAACGGGGAAGCCGGGATCCAGGGTGGGATGAATTTCCAGCGGGTAGCCGGTGGGTGGGGGCCACCCGCCGGATAATACTGTTCCGGGCAGCTGCCCGCCCGCCGGCCACCCGCTGCCGGGCAGTGTTTCACGACCGTGGGTAGGTGGCGGGTCCCCTACCCCCCACCTACCCCCCACTGACTCTTTTCACACACTTTACGCCCCGGGAACCGTTGTGGAACCCGAAACCATGCTTAGACACTTTACAACGCAATTAACGACAACACGTAGACAATTAACGAATCAAATACAAGAAACGGACGACACATAACCTATCATGCTTTTCTAAATATAATCAACACCCAAATATGCGATTTCCCCACCCGATAATCCAAGAATAAGATCATACGATACAACCTAGGGTTCTAATCACTTTTATATCAACAAGAATACGGTTCGTCTTCTAATTGCAAGGTTCGGTAAGAATAACACATAAACATCAAGAGCATCACATAATTATCAAGAACAACACATAATCATCAAGAACTCCATATAATTATCAAGAACACCATAATTATCAAGAATCTCCCAATATCAAGATTATCAAGATCCCTCATGGGATCATCACATCAATTATCAATAATAAACATCATAACTCGCCAATACGCAATAATATGGGGAAACCCTAGGGGGAAATCATAACTATGAAAATAGGTTTTGTTGAGACATGGGTTACCTCTTAGCCTTAATTAATTCCTTGGCTATGAAGGATCTTTCTTTAAGCTTTCTTGATTTCTTGATTTCTCCTAAGGGGATTCTTGGAACTCTTTGGGTGGTGCGAGATTATTGTGGTGGGGATTCTAGGTGCCTCCTAAGTTCCCTATTTATATATTTAAGACTCCTAGTTAGGGCCTGAATGGTATGGGTTTACTAATTCTATTCCTTATAGGGCTAGGGCTTGTTTTAGGGATAAGGGTCCATGGTCCATAGTGGACCATATTAATTAAAGAGGATCCTAATCATAATTTGAATAGTAAAAGGCCTACTTCCTTTATTCCTAACAGGCTTAAGATTCTTATTCGGGCAAGGGTCTACGGTTCATGGTGGACCTTACTAATTAATTAAAGGTAAACCTAACATAATTAAATCATATTTAATTATTATTAACGGGATTAATTAAATAATTAATCCGGGATTGAAGGCCGTAACACGGGGTGTTACATACATCATCCCGATCTGATCATCATGGCTCAATCTGGGAGAAAGCAAATCGATTCTATTCTAGCCCTCTCGCAACAAGTGACTAATGGGATGGTACTCAACCCTGAGTTTTTCAAACTGGGTTCTACCAACAAAGATACGGCCGAGAAAATTCTTCAAGCACTGAAGGACTGCGGACTGTTTGATTTCTTCACCTACAACTACTTTGGAACATTTGAAGAAGATGTAGCTGAATTCTACCTACATGCAGTCGTTGAAAAGGATTCGATCAAATCACGAGTTGGAGGATCAGAAGTTTCAATAACTGAGAATGATATACACAAGTGCTTCAGCTTTCCTGAATCTCAGTTAATGCCAGAATCTCATAGCTATGTTGTTCAAAAGTTTTGGAACGAGATTCGTGGTCCTACGGCTCCAATCTTCTCTGATGTATCCGCTCATAAGAACGTGTTGAAGTTTGAATATGAGATGTTGGTGGACATGATTCACAAGATTCTTGAACACAAACTGGGAAGTACTGAAGATTTGACTGCATCAACAGTATGCTTAATGGACGGCATTATGAAAGGAATAAAATTCAAATGGGCAAGATTTATCTACAGGAAGATGGTTATATTTGTGCAAGCTGCCAAACCAATGAAGAAACCTGCTGTGGTGGATCATTTCTATCAGAATGTTGGATATAGTCTCATCATTGGAGAACTGCTAAGGAAGAAGACAATTCCAATGAGAAAGCACAAAAATATTGGAATCTATAGAGTACTCTTCAGAAAATTCAGCCCGAATTTTGGGAAAAGATCAAGCCAGAGAAAAGGACAAGAAGGTGGCAGTTCTACAAGTTCAAAGACACCTCAAAGCTCAAGAATGAGAAGCAGCAAAGCAATCTCAGCCTCAAGTAATCAAATTGGATCAAGTAATCGGTCCGGAAGAGATCAAGAAGCCATCAGTACGGCTTTGACTGTTGTTCCACTTAAATATGCCGAACCGAACATGTTGGCCGAAGGAGTTACGATACAACAAGAATGGAATTTGCAGGAGTTGATGTACAAGTTTCTAATGATCTACAACGAAAGCTCTCGAGTCAATCTGCAGCCGAAAGAAGTGCAGGACCTATAGTTTTTGACTCAGCTCTCATTCAAGATGATCCGGAGTTGTTGAGAGAATTAATAATGGTACAAACTTGGAGAGAATTGAAACTTTAAAGATATCATTCTTTCATGTCAAAAATCACTCCAGACTTGATACGAAGTGAAGATTTTTCTTTGGAATGGTGCGGAACTAACGTGATGCTAGATGCACTCAACATGGATTTAAATCAAGTCTATCACATGAAGCTACATGAAAAGGCAACCAGACAGAAAGGAAAAGCACCAATAAAAGGAGGAAGTACGGCTCAAGACCGTATAGCCGAACAAGAAAGACAGAATGAAATATCACTTTAGTTAGCTCTACAAAGGTCAGTCTATGACACACATCATTATCCAGGTAATACATCTCTTGTGGATAATGAAATTTTTGATGAAGGAACTGAAGGGACAGCACTCATTAATGTACCAATCATGAGCACTGAAAATCATATGGACATATGTGTGAAAGTCCATGATGCTTCTTTATTGATATCTGATTTGACCCTCACAACAATTAATGTGAACTTGGAGTGCAATGAACGACTTGTGTGATCTAATGAAGTTGAAGTGTCAGTACGAGAAGAATTAAGAGGAGATGTGTTAGAAGAAATAAGAAGAGATATACCAGTTGAAGTTGCAGTAGAAGTTGGTACTGAGAATAGACAACAATTCAAAGAGAATTTATCCAGT